ATTGAGTACTACCTTTGGATATAATAGTTCTGGTATCATGGGGAGATTTCCTCTGGTCCTTCTTGAAAAAAGCCGTTGCACTGGACTAGATTTTAGCTTATTAGGTGTGTTTCTCAGGCATAGCAGGCTGTACCAAAAATCTTCTTTATTCTCTGTTGTTTTTACCAGTAATTTCTTAGCAATTTTTACTGTGGCTTCAGCCTTTGAATTACCTTGTGGATGATGGGGAGATGAGGTTTTGTGGGAGAAGCCCCATTTATGTGAAAAAAGAGTAAATTCCTGGCCAGTGAAGTTTGTCCCTCCATCTGTAATTACCACCTCTGGTACTCCATGTCGAGCGAAATTCTTTTTGCATATGTCAATGACTGTTTTAGCAGACATGTCCTTCAGACGGTCAATCTCAAAAAAATCTGAATAATGATCAATGGTTATTAGATACTTGTGTTGTTTTCCATTTTCTGTAAAGAAGAAAGCATCCATAGAGATTATTTGAAATGGATATTCTGGAACACTGACACTTTTCATGGGCAGTCTCTGTTGACTTGGAGCATATTTTATACATATATGACAGTTCTTAATCATTTCTTTTACATCAGATGCTAAGGTAGGCCAAAATATTGCCTCTCTAGCTAAAGACAAAGTATTTTCTAGGCCTGAGTGTCCTTTATGAAGTTTTTGCAGTATATTTTGACGGAAACCTTCAGGTATGAGAATTGCTTGTCCTTTTAATATTAAATTTTCATAAGTTGTTAGTTCATCTTTGAAGCTAAAGTAGTATTTTAAAGCATCTGGCACATCTCTAATAAATTTTGGCCAACCATTGAGAATGAAATGTTTTAGTTTTGCATAGTTTCTATCTGTATTTGTAACCATTATTATTTCTCTAAGACAACTATCTGAAATTGGAAGGGTTTGGATAGGGTTGACACTTTCAAAAATTTTGAAAATCTTAGCATCTCTATCTATTGTGTCAGTGTTCTTAAAATGAAACCTGGATAATGCATCCGCCACAACATTATCTTTCCCGGAAACAAATTCTAGGTCTATATTATAACGTTGTAATAACAATAACATAGATTGTAGTCGTTTGGGAGCTTTTAACAAAGGTTTTTTAAAAATTGTAAGAAGAGGTTTATGATCAGTTTTAATGACTGTCTTCAAATTACCTATTATAAATTGATCAAACCTAGTACAAGCAAAAACAACTGACAGGAGTTCTTTCTCAATTTGCGCATATTTTCTTTCAGTGGGCGTAAGAACTCTAGATGCATAAGCAATTGGTTGATTTTCTTGAAACATAGCTACACCTAAGGCAAGTTCACTGGCGTCACATTCTATTACAAGAGATTTGTTATGGTCATAATATTTTAAAGTTTGCAAGTCACCAATTATAGATTTCAACTTATGAAATTCCTTATTAGCACTCTCATTCCAAGACCAACTATTATCCTTATGAGTTAATTGTCTTAAATGGACTGTCTCAGAACTTAAATTTGGAATAAATCTACTCAAATAAGTAACCATGCCTAAGAAAATTTCCAATTCTTTTTTGTTAGTGGGAGTTGGTATACTTTGGATTGCAGATATCTTACTTGGATCTGGCTGTAGACCTTGATTGGTCAGCACATGCCCATAGTATTTGACTGAAGTCTGGAGAATATTCATTTTAGATTTATTTAATTTGCAATTATGTTTTTGTAAACATTGTAATAATCCTTCCAAGTTTTGATTATGATTTCTAGTAGCTTCTAAGATAGTATCTCCTACACCATAAATTAAAATGTCATCAGCTAATAATTCTATTCCCGGTAAGCCCTGGACGACATTGAACATTTTCATTTGAAAATAGTCGGGAGATGAGGAAATACCGAAGGGTAGAACTTTCCATCTATATTTTCCAAAAGGAGTCCAAAAAGTGGTAAGTTTACTACTGTTTTTTGATAACTTAAGATGCCAGAAGCCTTTTTTAACATCCATGGTAGAAAATACCTTAGCTTTACCTAGTTCAGGCAAGATCTCATCAATTGTAGTAAACTGGTAGTTAGGCCTTTTAATGGCTTTATTCAAAGGAATTGGGTCTAAACAAATTCTAAAGCTGTCATTTTTCTTAACTAACAGGATATTGCTTACCCAATCAGTATACATGTCCTCCTTTTCTATTATGCCCTCCTTTTCTAATCTAGCTAATTCTTGTTGCAGGGGTTTGCGGAGACTCACAGGAATACGGCGAGGCTTCTGTATAACAGGCTTCACATTGGTATCTACTTCTAAATTTATCTCCCCTTCAAAACACCCATATCCTTCAAATACAGACTCATATCTCTTTAGGATTTGATCAGTTTCTGTAAAGTTATTTTTGACTTCTTTGCAAAATTGAACCAAACCCATGTCCACACAAGCTTTGCATGACAACAATGGAATATGAGGTGCGTGTACTACCTGGAATGTTACTTTATACTGGCTGGAATTGAATTTATTGGTGACTTTTATCCATAGGTCTATTTCACCATGGATGTGAATATTGTGCCCTCCAAAACTATATAAAACTTTCTTAGATGGTTTCATATTTTTTCTAATGTAATTTTCATTAAACATTTTTTTTAAATTTTTATAACCTATAAGGCACTCGTCAGCTGCAGTGTCCAACAGACAAACAGTATCCATCCATTTTGTAGTGATATCTGACTTGAACTTCAAGGAACACTCTGCTAAATTTTTCTTTTGATGATTGGTGATTTTATTGATAATAATGTTATCTTCACAATCAGAATCAGAGTCTGCAGCTGACTGTGGCAGTGAAGATGTCTGTTGGGGAGTATTTTTTATTTCTTTGACCTTTTTCTTGCACACTTTTTCTGTGTGATTTCTCCCTTTACAGGTCGAACATATTTTCCCCCAGGCTGGACATGCTCCTTTTATAAATTCATGGATGGCACCACAAAATTTACATTTATTCTTCCTGTTTTTTCTCTCTGGACTGGATTTTCTCTTTTTTTCTTTAATTTTCTTTACTTGGTCTTCACTGTTTGGAAAACTTTTCAATTGTTTTTCTGTTGCTTCTGAAGCTTTGCAAATATTAATGGCATCTTGTAGTGTCAAGTTATCTCTTTTCAACAATTCTTTTTTTACTTTTCTATTCTTTACTCCAAAGACTATCTTATCCCTCAACATTTCCTCGGTCATTTCGATGTCTCTATATTTGCACTCATGTACTAATCTTGAAATCTCTGCAAAATAGATGTCAAATGGTTCTTCTTCTTGATTTTTGCAATGGAATATATATCTATTATGGATGATATTCTTTTTGGAAACCATTTTTTCTGACATTATCTTAAGAACTTCTGCACAAGTGTATTTGTCATCAATTTTTATACCAAATCTGTTGTACTTTTTAATGGCTTCTTCTCCAATGGCACTGAAGAGTATCGATACTTTTCTAGGTTCTTGGTCGAGCGGCCAGGTATCCATTTTTGTGGCTTTGCAATAATTACGCCATGAGGATTCAAACATGCAAAACGATTCATCCGGATCATTATTGACGTCCAGATGTGTTGGCCACGGTATATGCAAGTTATTAGTAGCGCCAGTATCATTATTTTTGATGGCTAACATTTGTAACTGTTGCTGAAGCGCCAGCAGAATTTGCGACTGTTGCTGTAGTACATCTTCGAGCGTAGTGGACATGATTACAGATTTTTTAGATAACTTTGTTTTCTAAAAGAATCACCGCTGCCACCATGTTAAAATAAATGCATTTACAAATGACGAATGAGCTTTTATTTTATTTAAGATCTTTCATTACATAAAAACATAGAATAGCGCGCATTAGTCTCTGACAAAGATAAAGATCTTCTAATTATGTAAAGACTAAGAGGCACAAGCTTATACAGCCAACAAAACCTTTGAACCATTAATGCATACACACACACGTTAATGCGTATTTTTTTTATTAATATTGTGAATCATTGTGATGATATGATTTGCGAATAAATTAATATATATACATGTCTGGCTAATAATCTGAAACCACATTAAAAATGGCTATTGGAGTTGGATACTACATAAGCATAACTTACATATATTCTCATACTTACGTCTATTTATGCGGACCAAAAAATTTCCAAATTATTGATGCAACGACAAACAATACCTTATGTTTTTATTGCTATTACATCACATCAAAAATATTTCTGTGAAAAGTAGCTACCATGATAAAACTAGATGCCAAATAAGCCAATTCAAATTAATACAAAATATGTGTCAATCTCGGAATTCAAAATGATAAACTGAAAACTCAATAATATCTAAAATAAAATTTTATGAATAACATTTATATGTAGGTATATTTTCACACTACTATTTTATTGCAATTTATAAGTTCTCTTAAAACTTATAATGTGAAATAGATAATATTATATAACAGTATTTTACATGCACATTTTGTATATAGGTATCACGTCTTTTAGTTTCATTCAAGCAGACTTAATATTTTGTCATTTGTATTTTCGTTTTGTTTATTTGTATTTTACTCAGTTTAAGAATAATAGTAAAATAATGATAGTTTCATTTTTATTAAATCTTTATAATTACATTGTGGAATTCAAAAAAAAAAAATATATATTCAATAATATGTGTCCTGTATTATACATTAAAAACTTTCCCTTTGAATCACCCTATCCATAAAAAACCACATCAAAATCCGTTGGATAGTTTTAAAGATCTAAGCATACAGGGGAAAGCGACTTTGTTTTATACTATGTATTCATTACAAAACCTATTGATGTTACTAAATAGTTATGATAATACCTATAAACAATGAAAATTAATGTTTCATTACATTATTTAAGAAGTATATATCTAATGGGGTAAACTTATATTTTAGTAGCAACCCTTTGCCGGCCGGCATGACGCAATTTTTCATCGTATTGCATATCGTTCCATTTCCGTTTGTTACATTTCTCCAGTATAATATTGTAGGTAATCATTGCATTCCTCCTCTCTTATTCGTCTGTGCATTCCTCTTTGTTTAGCTGTAGCGATAGAACGTTTCGCGAGTGAACAATAGGATAAAGATAGGTGTCTACTGTGAGGCGTTCAAGCACTCTCAGCTCCTGCTCTACCAAACGATACTTCCATATTGGTAATGGAATTAACATAGGTAAGCTGTAGAAAAATAAGGTTTAGAACTAAACGTAGATTTTGAAAACTTTTAGATAATGTAAGTAGGTGTATACTGTTTAATGAAAAATTAATTATATAAAAATCTAAGGACGCAGTACCTAAATATAAGCTGAGAGGGGTTCGGACACAATTTGGTCTGAGGAGATGGACAAAATGTAATCACGATTAATGAAATTTTGTTATATCTGCGTTGAAGATTACATTAATATCATATTTTTTACATTTTTATAATTTTTTTATATGACGAATTAATAAATAATAAAACTAACAATTTGACCAATACGTCATCTTCAATCCTGGTTCAATGTTTTAATAGGTATTTTGCCCATCTCATAATAAAAGTAGATACTTATAATCGACCGTTTGGTATAGCTGTGAAACATTATCTTTGTTTGGTTTTGTTAATTGTAAATAATGGTGGTTGTAGCTTGTTCTAATTCCATTGGTGACCTTTGGTTCGATTTTCTAAATTACCTATAATGTACGAATTTCAAATAACTTTTTTTTTAAAAATCTGGTCCTGCTAACTTATATACGTTCCGGAAAAAATCGCGTTAACTGAAATTCGCGTATATCGAGGTTTATGATTAAACATAGTCAAAAATTTGATAAAAATAATACGAATCATTTTAATCACAGGGTCACCGTTATTTTCTATACTCTGCAATATGTCAAAACCATTCACGGGAAACATAGGAATTAAACAAGAGTTATTCTAGCTCGTGATAGGCTTTCGCACTGTAATGGCCAATGCAGAGGCTGCAGCCTCGATCGCAATTTTATCGAATTCCGTCGCTAACTCGTAGGGAGCGTAATTAAAGGATTATTACAATCCTCTACGGTTAATAATAACTTTATTTGTTAGGCACATACCAAGTGCATTGTCAAACTAGCGATATTTGTTAGTTTCCTAGCGATCACTATGAGTTAGCGATCGAATTCGTTAAAATTGCGATCGCAAACTCTGTCGAGACTGCAGTGCCAGGGTGCGGAGTGTATAAGTCTACGATAATAATCCATCTAGACTACTGGAAAGAACTCGTTATTATTCTAAAAACTAAGCTTAAGCGGAGAATTTATTAGACTTACAAAGGCATGTCAGACAGTCCGTCAGGCGCCGGACTTCGCTACTATAGGTTTCTATGATGTTTTTAGTGCAGTACCATCGCAGTCGCCAGTCAATTCGAATACATATAGTGGCGAGGACCGGTGGACATGTCCAACTTCAAATTTTATACATATATGTATATAGATTTATTATATCACATACATTGCTCAGATTCCAATATGACTAGATGAAGCCCCCGTAGTATCGAGTATTTGAGAGCATGAAGGTGAACACAACACCCAGATCCGAGACAATATAGAAATGTCTATTTTCTACATTGACCTCCGGGACCGGGAATCGAGCCCGGGACGTCAGAGATGGCGACACCTTGAAACCGGCGTGCGAACCACTCTGCTAACAGAGGTCGTCGAAATATAATTAATTCAGGCTAGGCAAGGCACATGCTTCAAGCACTTGTGAATGTTGAAAGGTCGGTTCGCAAATTTACGGCAGGAGGTCTTGCACTAAGAAGAACGGCCAAGAAACTCAGCAAGAACTGCTTTTTTCTTCCTGTTTTATTACATAGAAGTCTAGTTCAAAGGTGCGAATTACCTAAGTCACTAAATGAGGTAAATAAAAGATATGGAATAGACTGGAGAACGCATCGGCTCATTCTTGGTACAAATACATCTCACCGATTTGTGGTGTTCATTGGCTACTTATTTCACGTATTACAGAGTAGAAATAAATTCAGCGGTAAAAATAATAATGCCTATAATTTTAGTATTTACTTTTTGAAACTCATTACTTATGGATCTACATTTGGATTATACCATAGTCCCGTTGCACAAAACTGACAATCTATTATTTAAATTAGCGTATTTTCAAAGCGCTTGCCCCCGCATGCTCACTCCTCTCACTCCAGTCTACTCCGCGAGAAAAGATTACAAAAGGTGATAATTCATTGATATAATCATCATATATCAGTTTTATAGAAATTAAAACTAATATACGATATATACGTAATATACGATATAATAAGTAGTCCTACCTCAATTCAAATTTTTCCGTAATAATCTCAACTACACTACTATAATGGCAAAATGCAAGTAGTTGATATTCTATTGAGATGTGATTAGGGAATGCAATCTCGCGAGATTGGGACTCGAGCTAGATCTCGCGATATTGGCACTTTTGTGTGTTTACTGTTTTACTTTAATATTTATTCAAATCGCAATATTTGAATAAATTAGGGAAAAATAAAGGAACTATAGGTATTATGAAATGAACATTTATTTTTACGGATATTTTTAATGAAGTTTTATGTATTTAACTTTGTTTGACGCAATTATTTTTTTTTATCTAAAATCTTTAAAAGAGCAATGTCTGTATTATAATCTCGGAAGCGGCTCCAACAATTTTCATGACATTAAGTATGCAGGGGCTTTCAGAGGCGATAAATCGATTTAGGCGATAATTCGAAATGAAATAAACAACCAGTCTTCTCTGCTAATATCAAAGAAAAGTTTAATTATAATTTGTAATATACAGTTGTTTATAACAAAAATACAAAAACTAAAATTTAACTTATTACCTAAGGCCCACTTGCAGTATAATTGACAAAATCTCGATTTAATTAAATCCAGATTTAGCCTTAAACTCGACTTAACTTAAATCTAACTAAAGTTATCTTGCAGATCCCAAAAACATGACCGGTTTAACTAAACCGAGATTTAGCATATCATTCGTTCTCCATTCATTCCTTATGTTCCGTTTTTGATAAAAAGACTAGACTCCGGCGCCATAAAATCAGTTTAGAAAAACAAACGTCATCGTCGTTGTTGTCAAAATTCAATATCAACATATGTTTTTTTTTGAAGACGCCGCGCCATTTCAACATTCGTAACATGTGTAAATAACAATAAAACGTCATTGATTTTATCAAGTAGGTACCTCATTTTATATGGGTTTTATTTATCACTAACCTCATCAGCTTACCTGTTAAAGTCATTAGGAAACTTGTGTACCATTTTATCAAGAAGGAACACTGCACTTTGTTTACTTAGGCGGAACCGTTTCACGAATTCATCATCTCGTAATGTGCCGAATAAATCATTTTCAACAAAGACTCTTCGAGAGAAAAAGGGAGTATCTAAATATTGCACAATTTCTTCATCATCATCGGACAATAAATCATGATCAATTTTCGAAAATAAATCCATTATTATTCAAAAATTAACAAACTGAATACAATAAATCTTTAGCAGTACCACAAAAATGGTGGCAAAATCGAGATTTAGCAAGTTAAACCGACCCAAATGCCGATTTAAGTTTGACGTCTACGTAAATCGAGATTTACACTAAATCGATGAAGTGCAAGACGTTATCGAAGTTTAAACTTAAGTCGAGTTTATTTTAAATTAAATCGAGATTTAATGTTTCGCTGCAAGTGGCCCTAAGTTGAATTGACTAATTAAACTGAGATTATTATCAATGAAAGAAAACTATGTGTTGTAGAAATTAGAAAATAAATTAACAAAATACTTATACCAATCAATTTAAAGGCTTATTCGAATAATTTTGAAAGTAGTTTCTTAAGAAGCACAAAATGTCCAAAGAATCTTTGCTATTCGTCTTATTATCGTGCTGGCCAGTTAACCATCCACTGAGAAGACCCTTTCGAAAACATAAGTACTGTAAAAGTGTAAAATTTCGCCTTTTAACCACTCGGACTCGCATAAATTCACGCTGCCGCACTTAGAATAAATCATTTTTATGCTCGAGTGCAATATCGTTAAACTCACGAGATCTCGCCCATTTTTCGACCGAGATCAATCTCTCTAAGAAAGGCCGAGATCTCGCGAGAACGAGATCTCTTATGAACGAGATTGCATTCCCTAGCTATGATATTACGTAAATATTAACAGAATTCGCCTGCGACCTCATCTCCACTGGCTGAACACGATCATGAGCATGTCGCATAAACCAGCCATCGGTTTGCTTAACCATATTTAAGAGTTTTTGCTTTAAATTTGGTTTTTATTTCAGATATCCAACACGATGGATAAAGAACATTTTAAGCACTCAAACAGAGGTAAGTATCTATGTAGATTTTATTTCGAGCGTATTTCGAATTTATATGCATATTTAATGTAAATATTACCTTAAGTCATTTGGCATATCAGAGTCTGTATAACCTTTTGACAAATCCTACTCTAAGAGTCCCGAATCTACGATCTTGTCTTAGTATATTCACAGATACACATAAACTACGATTTTTGAACTGTATGTTTGTTTTTAACGGACTTGAAAAATTGAAAAGGAGGAGATTATATGTTCGAAGGCGATGTATCTTTCTTTTTTTAAATTGTTGAACGATTTTCAAAATTCTTTTTATTCGACAGCTTGATTGATCGAGGTGGACCCATTTAAATTTTATCGAAATCGAATCAGTAGTAGTAGCTCGGTGGCGTAGTGGATAAGCGCCGCGGCCTACGATCGTAGTCGTTAAGCAACTTTCGCAAGGGTCGGTCACGGGATGGGTGACCAAAAAATTAGTTTCTCGAGCTACTCCGTGCTTCGGAAGGCACGTTAAGCCGTTGGTCCCGGCTGCATTTGCAGTCGTTAATACCCTCCAATCCGCATTGGGCCAGCGTCGAGGGTCATGGCCCATCCTCCTTAACCATCCATAAGGAAGGCCTGAGCTCCTGCAGTGGAGACGTAAAAGGGCTGATGGATGGACGAATCAGTAGTTTCCCTTTTATAACAGAACAAAACACGCTTTTCACCAGATATCACCAAATATTTAGTTGATATGTTTATTACAGCTAAAAAAGCAAAAGATTGCGTATTTTGAATTTATTCAAAATCTGAAAGGAGGTTTTTCTGTGTTCAAAGAGTATGTACATTTTTTAAGGCATGTTCATCGATTTCTTCTTGAATTGTGAACGAATTTCTATCAAACTAGCTGTTTCCCCGCAATGTCGCATGCGTAAATTATAGTCTGTGTCCAACGCGTAAGTATTATATAGCTACCCGTAGATTAAACACTTATAAATTGGTCCAATAGTTTCGGAACCAATCCAATGCAAATAAACAAACAATCAAATCTTTCCTCTTTATAATATGAGTGTAGAATAATGAAAATATATATACATTGAGCAAATAAATAAAATCTCCTTTCCTACAGTTCCTAAAATATAACACTAAATAAATATAATACTTTTACTTAAACATGAACCGTGTGCATAGGTTATTCTCTAGAAACGACATTGTCAAAAAACCGGCCAAGTGTGAGTCGCACTTGCACATGGGGGGTCCCGTACCGGAAACGAGTAAAAATAAATCACATTTTAAATAGGGATTCCTTTTTTTTTTTTTTTGTATTTGTTATTATAGCGGCTACAGAAATACATCTGTGAAAATTTCAAATGTCTTACAATAACGATTCATGAGAAACAGCCTGATGAAGTGATGACAGACGGAGGGATGGAAAATGGATTTTTAGCAATAGGGTTCCTTTTTTTATCCTTTAGATACGGAACTCTAACACGAATCTCATTACAAAAAACTCTTAACTAATATCGAGGATGCAGTAGGATACTACTTTTTATATTTTCTGTATAGTTCCCTTCCTCAACAAAGGTTAAATATGGAGTCCTTGTGTTTTTATAAAAAAAAAGTACATTTATCATGTTTTGCAGTGAAAAATTGTACAATAATAACGGTACAGGATTTAAAAGATAATTTTATGCTGGCTACCAAAAAATTACCCTCTCGAAATTAATAATCAGATCTCGATCGGCCCAATTTAACGAATAGCTATAAATATTTATTATATTCATCACAGTATAAACAAGAAACATGGAGATTGTACTAACTTCTCTTCCTTCTTGACTGCACCTCATTTTGAGTATTGGGTGCCGTATTGCCAATGCATACTAAAATAATAAATATCATTACGTTAGTAATATATTCTAAGAGATGAGAAGTAAAAATCATATCATAATATGAATCAAGCACAGTGAATTCAAGAAGGTGCATACTTAGCAATATTTTATATTCAAAAAGAACTTCAAACAGGTGCGTACTTAGCAATATTTGGAGCACGCGGAGCCTGCTGCACGTGCGACTACGCATCTGAATCTCCCAACACAAATTATCTCAATAAATTATGTGAAGTTTTTCACGAAACAGCGTAACCGTAATAAACAGTAACTTTTGACATATCGATGTCAGCAAGATGTCGCAAGGAAACAAATTTTAATTTCCAATAATAATCGAATTGAATTTCATAATAAATTATACTTATAAAATAAATAAAAAGCAATCATTTTCTAGTATGGACGCATTTTTTAAAATTTTATTTGCTTAATTGAACATGAAATCATTACTTAAAAACAAAATTCTGATTTTCTTAGATTTAAAATGGCGGAATTGTGCAAAACGCGCAGATAAGCCATCAATAAAAGAAGAAGAAGTAGATTTAAAATACTTTTGTCTGAGGCAACATTTTATCCTTTAGGAAACTATACTTGAACTGCACTATGAATACAGATTTTCAATATGTTATCGTCTGAATAGTTTACGATTTTGCTCGGTAACTCGGTAATAGAGACTTGCATTTGAAGTAACGATCGTTACCGCAAACAATAATTTTCGTTAATATTTGACATTCGATACTTTGCGATCGTATCGCTATTAATGTCGAGACTGCAGCCCCTGATATCTACTATATTTTTTCTGTGGTTTTTTCAAATGGTGCTTATTACATTACATAAAAACACGTCACTGATTAATCAATTTTAGCGATAAAATGAAGAGTGCTTTGATACATACCAATTCTGATAATAGTAAAGGCAGAAAAACAGTAATTCGAGTGAAAAAAAAATTTTTAAAGAACTCATTCTTTATTATAATTTTAAATATAGTTAGGTGATTTCTACACTTACTTGGTAACATTGTCAGAACATCATAATCTATACCTATATAAAAGGAGATGTCCTGACTTACTGACTGACAGACAACACGCAGCCTAAACCGCTGGTCGTAGAAACTTAAAATTTGAAGGGAACATTCCCCTTAATACGGAGAGGTGTACTAAAAACGGATTTTTGGAAATTACATTCGGAAGGCGGTCAAAAAGGGTGAAAAAGTTTTTATGAAACTTCTTTGTTTATAGACATATGTTGGTATTTGGGTAGTTTATGACCTTAGGAAGGTAATAGGTTATATTTTATCTCGAAAACGAGCACTTAAAGGGATAAAAATGGGAGTGAAAGATTTTATGAGGAATCAAAATCTTACCATAGCAACCATCGTTTACAATGTAATTTGTCATTGTAATAAATTTATCTAATATTATTTACAAAATGTTTTATTGTATAGCGATTAAAATTGGTATTTGAGTACATATTTGATAACAAAATTTATATTAGAAATAAATAATTTTGAAAATATTCAAGTACAAATAATTTTACGTACGAAAGAAAACGCAATCTAGACATTTTGTGCTATACTTTTTATTATCTTGAGCTATTCCGTGATTTGGAAGGCACGTTATGCCGTTGGTCTCGGCTGCATTTGCAATCATTATTGCTCTCTAATCCGCATTGGGCCAGTAGCCTGATACAAATACCAACTTTCAGTATGGAGATCAAACATTAAAACATAACAGCTGTTTTTTTTATTATGAGGGTATCATATATTTCCTTTTTAATATATGAATTAATCCAACGATATTTTCTTTCGGATTATTAGTAAAAAAAAATAAATTCCTTTAATTTCTCAATGGTATGTAACACGCAATATATGCAGCAGACTTTTGAGTGAAATACATATTCTACTAAATATCATTAAAATCCACTCATAAATATTTTATTAAAATATTTATCTTGAGCTATATTAAAATACAAAAAAAAAATAAGTAAAAAATAAAGTTTATAAAAATCACTGTTTCCTGTAATTTTTTTAGTTGGATTTCAGTAATTTTCATTGTCGCTATGATAAATAAAACCAAAATTTGTGAAAAAAGTGTTAGTAATTTTGCGTGAATAAATGAAGGTTTTTTGACCTGATGTTTTTTTATACCTTCCGTAGCTAAAATGAGGTGGATTCTTAAATATAATCTCTTTTAATTGGCTCACAAACTCGATTAAAAATATTCCAGGCTTATATCGAATTATTTCCGTTTTTCTCGTATTTGTATCAGGCTACAGCGTGGAGACTCATGGCCCATCTTACTGAAGACCTGAGCCTTTGCAGTGGGGCTGATGATGATGATGATGTGATGGGGTTTAAACTCAACTAAAATGCGATATCATTTTGTTAAAAAAGTTGCGTATATTTTAGTTTTCTATTAAGTTTTATGTGGACATTAGATTCTTGTTTTTCTTTCTCTCTCTTCTTTTACCCAGTTGTCTACGACATATTCGATATATTATTTTTAATTTAAAATTTGAATTTTGGCAGCTGTGAGTTTAAAAGTCGACCAAAGAATCGTGATTTATATTATTTTTATAGTATATTTATTTCGGTAACTGTCTGGTTATCTCTTATTATATGAAGTAATGAGCGACAAGGAGGATCATATATTATACATGCGAAATAAATCTGTGTATAAGTCATTTACGCTCTCACGTCTAACCCTCTAAACAGAGTCGACTTGAGATAGGACATACTTATATTGTTTTATGTGATAAAAGAGTTAAAATATGGAATTAAAGTTTGTTATTGTCAAAGACAAAAACCATGAAACTTAATTCAAGTATTTTACATGATATAATGATTGAATATTCGTCTTAGAACTGCTGCCCATAGTAACTATACCACGCGGACGAAGTCGCGGGCAAAAGCTAGTATTAAATAAATTAGATATGGAGATAAAATTACAAATAAATGATATGTGGGTAATCTATCAATAATTGAATTACATTAATTTCACCAACATTGTAAAACTAGGCAAAATAACATCCATCGCGCACAATACTAGTGATACTTAATTTTAAGACATGGATTTGATTAATGTACTATGCTAATTGCAATTTTGTGATTACAATATGCACACTTCATGATACTGATTGGGCTAAAACAGAAAGTATTTCCCAGAAATATTATGAAAGATGCTTTCTACTTGTGTAAATACTTCTCTAAATTGATATACTTAGTAGCTTCTTTTAAGTACGCAAAAAGATCTGCACGCTCATTGGTCTTCTTTAAGCCAGCGAACACCATCTTGGTACCGGGGATGTATTTCTTGGGGATCTCGAGGTACTCAAACAGAGTATCCTCATTCCATGTAATGTCTAAACAAGAAAACATAATTTGATGTTAAAAAATGACAATATAAATAATACGTATAAACAAAAAATTTCATCACATAGAATCGGTTAGTTCTGAAAATCAGAATAGGAGGCAATTGAATTATAACTGATTATATTATATTGAATATAACATAGGAAAAAAATTTTATAGGCAATTTTTTCCTATGTTATATTCAATTAAAACCAAACATTATAAATGTATATCAGTTAATTCAATGAATATATGATCGCATATTATAACAATGTATGTAATTGTGTATTCAAATCTTAATAAAAACATCATTGTATCATGCGGATGTATTAATTTTATTATAAACATTAATTATAAAAGGACTTACAAGAGCAATCTGTCTAATATTTAATTGAATCTACTAGAGCGAAATAAGAACTTAATGATAGTAGAACATCAATGCAAAAATAAATTATTTAGTTTAGATCAAATTTTTCTATTTTAATGAATCAATTTAAAATAAATGTAATAAAACAGAAATAAAAGTATAGTTAAATGCAATGTTAAACAAATTTCAAAGGAATAATTATACAACGTTCATGATTCATGTCTGTAGTGACGATAGGTGATGCAATAGCTCATGAAATGAATTATTATCTTATATACCGCGTGTTACAAAAAAACCCGTTACCCCGAAAATGGCATTGAGTATACATAAAACTGAGATAATGGACGCTGTCCTTTATATCGTAGCCATTGTATTTATTGAAAAAAACAATATCGAAGTTTAGCAAAATTTTCGATACCATTTATCGAAGCACACCGACATTATGATCAGCTGTTTCAGTTCATTGACTTCTAAATCAAAGACTATTATTTTGCCAGACTGGTTATATCTACTGGTATTTAGTGCCTACGTCACAGTACAGCGAAATCATTTATCTAGTTATGTGTACATACGCAAATATTCGAACATGCAAAATATTACACGAAAACATTATTTTAAAACTATTTCCAAAATTCGTTTTTATTCAGATTAGAGCTCCCTTTCCAATATACCTTGCCATATTACTATGCCCGTGCTACGCACATATCAGGCACGGAAACAAACAATAAACAGTACGCTATAGTCACTGCACTGGATTAAATACTTTCGCCTGAAATGCTCGTACAATATCTCTTTACGAACTGTAGACGGCCCATCCAAAATAATAATCTTTATAATTAATGCTACGACACGTCACTCAATAATGTACTCATAAAATCAATTTCATCTAATCTAAACAAATAGAGAAGCAGAGGAAGAAGAAATATAGCGACCTCTAGATAAGTAGAAAATTCGTTATTGCACGAACAATTTTTTTTCATAATTAGGTAGTTTCATTTTTATGAAAATAATTACAATATTATGAAAGTAGGCGACGTATATCACTGAGTGTCTTCCAGGTAACTTTGTCTATCTGTAGCTGCTTCATCTTTGAACCAGAATTTTTACACATCGTGTCTTGAAATCATGATAACCTGGTACTCGTACCTACAATCTTCTGTTACGAAAGTAAACCTAATATGACGTCAGCGCAGATGGGCATCTTTTTTTTTTTGCACCCCATAGCGAAAAGTTGAACTTTATTTTAAACTTCATTCTTTCTAAAATTTTTTTATGGAATACTAAAGCAAATATTCTATATTTTATGAAAATTTGCTTCATTTATCGAAAGTACGATTAAATAGATACCAAAATCGACACAAAGCTGATTAGGGCAAGAAAATATTTCCATTATGTGACTTATTTAAAATAGGAATATCTCTTAGAATTGTTTAGTAATAATAATGATATTAATTTTATATAATAATGTGCTAGTCGTTAATCATAATTTGAGGGTTTTATGAGTAACTTTGAAGAATTGTAAGAAACAAAAATAATTATAGTTCAGTTTGTTTACCATGGGTTCTTTCATACTAATGATTTTTCAGTTTATTCATGATTTTGACTGTTATAATCATAAATTATGTTATTTAAGAAATAAAACTATCATTTCTGACAATAATTTGTAGTTTTGGTATAATTTCTATCGCTGTAAAATGTTTAAAAGGGAAGAATTAACTCGCAAATTTGGAGGGACAGTGACCAAACTGACCGCCTGAAAATCAGTAGGGTGCGTTTACAACAATTACTTGTGGGTATGAATTATTGAAAAAAAAAAACGATTATTTAGCTGTTTATTATTTTTATTAAGAAGCCCAAACAGTACAGTTTATCCAAACTTAGAAATTGAGTTGTTCTTAGAAATATAATTTTTAATGAAAATTAAACAAAAATACAATATTCATTGGAAAAAAAACTTCGGGCTTTCTAAAAGTTTAGTAACAAGGATAATGTTAATCTTAATTAAGTAACAATCTAGTAAACAATGTCCAAAAACTATTCAATAATTATTAACAATAATAGGTAACTTTAATTAACATATTGAGAACATAATTGACAATCAGTCTTTTTTATTATTATTAGTCACAGATACAAGTAGGTATCAAATTGAACACATACGAGAAATGCCTTATTTAGGCAGTTTAAATTATTATACTTAGGTACTAAATATACGATCAGAAAAATATGAGATCCATGAATAGGACTAAACTAATCACTAAATATCAATTAGATAAAAAAGAGATCCATACGTCACAAAGTTAAACTAAATAGCACAAAAAATACACTCATCTCTAGGGAAATGATCATAAACACAATATTTGCAATTGTAACACCAGAATTGTGGATTTTGCAGTAAATATAAAATATCTTCAAGATTCATATTCATTGAAAAATGTGGACGAGAAATGTATCTTGTATTTATGCCGCAACCAAAACAATTTTCGGCAATGACAAAGTGCGTTTCCTTCCAGGGCCATTTTAAAGCTAAGTCGATAATTCTCTTGTAATCATCAAAATGCAACGCATTATCGATCTCAGCGTAAATGATTATCATTTTCACCACAAAGTTTAATCTGTAACAAAAACATTAATTAAATTATTAATAATTTATGTCTAAGTAACTATACCTACCATTTATATTTTATTCAAATAACGTTTTATGCTAGTTTTAATAATATCTACCTTCGAAGCACTTTTCACATATATAATCAAATTCTATAGGACCGTCGATACATTCCTCACAAAACCATTTTTGGCAAGCCATACATTTGGCTTTTCTATCTAATATTGTACATGTACACTTCTGGCATTCAATGAAACCCTTTTTTTTACTTGTACTATAATTTTTGATCAAATTACTATCATTTATCGTAGTATCGATTACTTCGGGCTTAGTCTTGTCTTTTTTGTCTGGTAATATAATCATTGGTAATATTTCTATATCATTCAGATCGACAAGTTTCTCAAAGTCTTCGGAGTCAGCAATATTAATATTATTGAAAGAATCTAAATCAGAGGGTATTAATGAACCTATCTCAAGTAAAAGTTCCTTCCCACTATTATCATTAGAATAAGATTGATTGTTCTTGAAAACCATTGATAGCCTACTTTGTTCAGGAGATGTTTGTTCTTCAGGGGAGATGATAGAAGGTTTATGTTCAGAAGGCAGCAAATGAAGAGTTTTTTGCGGTTCGAAGATTTTGGAAAAGTTATTGGAAGATTGGCGGTTCTTTGAAATTGGAGTAAATGTAAATTGCTGAGGTTTATCATTTCCTGTAAAATTGACTCTTGTTGGAAGATTTGCGTATTTTAGAAATTGGAATAGATGTATGCTGAGTTTCAACTTTTTCTGGAAGATGGGCTCTTTTGTTGTAATCTTGTTGTTGGTTAGAAATTTGTGTAGTGGTAGAAATCTGAGCTTCAACAATTTCTTTAAGATAGATTATTTTATTGGAAGATTGGCGTTTTTTAGCAATTGAAGTAGATGTAGAGGGTTGAGGATCGAAATTTTGTGAAAGATTGGTTCTTTTGTTGAAAGAGAGGCATTTTCTAGTAGTTATAGTATTATGTAACTGAGGTGAATAGCAATCACATTGGCCACGAACAGGTCCACAGAAACAACTAATATTACGGAACTTTATTGTTGTCTGGTCTTTTTGCGTGACAACTTGATGGATTTGAAGAGTTCCTTTCAGCGGCGGAACGGTATTAGGAAAAATTTCCGTTATTTCATCTATATCACTTTCTTTAATAAGGAAAACTTTTGTTACTTTTAGGCACTCATTCAAAATTTTGTGTGCATCTTCGGCATCTGCTACGTCAACTCCTTGGCTGACTTTTCTGTCTAAAGTTCTTTTTACACAACCTCCTATACCATCGGCAACGCTCTTTCCATGGCCGGATTCGAAATAAGACCAGGTTGCATAATCAAATCCAAGTTTTTTTGTAAATTCAGTTAACAAATAAAAATTATTTTTCTGTCGGTACTGGGAAGATGGTCCATCTGTGTAAAAATGGAGAATCGTTACATTTGGTGTTCTATTTTTAATGATATTTATTATTGGAGTTAAATGTGCCCAGATAGCGGCTGGGCGATGATTATTTGATTCCGATATAGTACAAAATGATTGAGATTCATCTCTCCAAAAAACCATGCCAGTATGTAATGTTATTTGGTTTTTTGAAGCGCCAAAATGCAAGGATTGGACCTCATTTGCTAATTTTGCCTCATAGTTCTCAGAAAAATCACAAACTATGACAACTTCATTATCTTTTTGATTCGATATAGCAATCTGGTACTGGTTTTGTTGGTGTAGCATGTTAAAGTAGTGCTTTTTAAATTTATGTAAGTCTTTTTCGAAATTATTTTTCAGTTCCTGTAAATTTCCTGTTATTATTTTGCTGTTTTTTTAGTTGTGATTTCTTTTTTTTTATGTTCTTCCATTTTTGTGTAAACATGGTCTTCACGTTTCCATTGGAACCAAGACACATTTTTATCTGGACATTGTTCATAAAATGGTTTCAGATCACTGCAAATCGTGCATTTATCGTACATGCAATAGTAGTTTTTTATATCGCAGGATATGCTATCCAACACATTTCTTATTGTCCGAGTTTTCAATGCTCCAGCCTTCTTTAAGGCATCGTGCTGAAATTCTATATTGCTATGTTTAATACATAAGCAAGTGTCCCTGGAATTTAGACGCGGAGCAATGACGAAGAATGGTTTGTACTTAATGAAAGTAGATAGTCCATATCGTCCACCTTCCTTTCTGTACTTGTTAAATAGGTTCACTAAGTTGTCAGATAGGTATCTTATTTGTTTTTTTATTTTTTTTCTTGTCCTAGTTTCCTTTCGTCCAGCTGTACTGCGACTTACGTCATCTCTTAAATAAAAATTTGTAATTTCCGGTATATTTGGACGCTTAAATATTTTTTTCTTTTCCTTAGGTTTACAAATTAAGCCCAGCTTATTTGAAACATAGGTTTTATTTTCGGCATTATGCACCAGTTGACGCAATATTTTCTTTTCCTTGTGAGTTCTGCTATTTTTATAAGTTCGTTTTAATGTACTTTCAAGAATCTCCTCTCTCGCCTTCATTTTTTTATTAATATTCTCTAACTCTGCAATCTTTTCTATATATCTTTTTGTAATGCGCTGATTTCGTTTTTTATAGGTTTCATTTCGAGTCTTTAATTCTTTGATCAAATTTTGGTATCTGCGGCATTTTGTGACTAGTACTCTACATTTATTGTGGTATCTTTTAATGTTTTTTTCTTTCATCGCTGCGTCTGTCTCTATTTCAGGATTCGATGTCTCATTTGGTAAGCTATTTTTACATTTTTTTTTCGAGCTTTACTCTTTCTTTTTTGTTCTCGCCATGTCTGTCTTTGTGCTTTTGCTTCTTCTAAAGACATATCTGAAATCTTTTTTTTCTTTGATTTTATTTTTTGTAAATTTCTCTGACATTGAGCAGCATATTCTTCAGGGCGGTCCCTTTTAAGCTTTTCTCTATATCTTCTAGTTTTTTCGGCCCCACTGAGAGGCATTATGTCTATGAAAATAATAATAATTTGTGTTAACAAAGTTAACTTTGATGGATTTTAATGTAACTAGGAATATTAATTACATTTTAATGTGTTGATTAGGTTTTTCGAAAAATAATTTCATTTTGCATAAAATTTTACATTAGAATAAATTAGAATTAATAAGATAATCATATATATCATAGCTATAATACTATATATAAGATAGTGAATAGAGCCTCAATCTTAACTTTCAAGAGGTGATAGTGATTTTCTGTGAACTGTGCTTTATGCTTTCCGCCAGTAGTGACTTTCCATTCCACTTTATACGTGACCAGAGATATGGTCACCAAATGGAAGTCACATTTTATTACTCTCATTGATTAAAAAAAATATATAAAATTAACAGTCATAAGCAACAGTATAAATTCATATGGCGCAGATTGCTAAAGTTATACTTAACGTACATGACTAAAAGAAATACAATACCTAAACATTTATTATCATAAATCCAGTCACTTACCTGAACGAAATTTCCTGTAGTCTAGAGAAACTCTGCCAACACAACCGTTTTTTTCGCTCACCGGCAGATATTAAAATGTAAATGACGTTCCGCTGACATAAGGGTTAAGTAATGTTGTCGCTAATTTAAAATCTTACCAAATTGGAGTTTTTGCACGAAGTAAATTAAAGTCACTTAACGGAAAATTCCGGTCAGCGTCAATATTTTGATTATCATTTGAAAATTGATTTTGTTTTACAGGTATAACTTTTAAAGATTGTAATTACTTTTATTAAATCATATACATTTCAGATTTATGAATATCAAATAACACATATTCAGCGTCGCCTCAAATAAGAAATATTTCAAGTGTGTTGAGGTACAGTGTAAAAGGGGACATACAAAATTTTGCTGTTCCCAAAACTTTAAATTATTTTACCGTGAAATTTATTATGGGTTAAAAGAAAATAAAAATATATTATACCACTTTAATATATTCTGATGGATTCTTTCATTGAAACTTACAATCTAAAATCTATAGAAACATCAGAAATAAATGTTAAATCCGAGGGACATAGCAAAAACGAAGGGGGAGTAAAAAAAAAAAGATGCCCAGATACAGTCGGGGAATAAATTGAAACATTGATCAATATTCGTGTACATATTTCAATTGTGTTTATGGTCAATTTATTTCTTTTCTAATATTTTTACAATAAAAAGATCAGACTTAAAATGGAATATGAACCTTAATCGGGAATATGATCATTCCCGATTATGGTTTCAACCACTTACTCTTACTACATGTAAATTGTTTCAAGTAAACTGGATTGCTACCTTAGAGTTAATGATATGCACTACACTTAGGCATCTTAAAAGCGTCTGACAAGAAAAAATGTCGACAAAGAGCCGCTTTCTGAATTGAGAAAAGTACAAAATCTCAACTGAATATTCTCAATAACTGAAGTTTTTTTATATTTCACTAGTCAAAAGTCCTAGTTTTATCAAACTGCTAACAACTAATTATAAAAAAAAAACCGGCCACGTGAGAGTTGGACTCGCGCAGGAAGGGTTGTATCCGGTGCTAAGAAATAACTTCATTAGCTTAACTCTTAAAAATATTTTTTATTGTTTAGGTATTTAAATACGTAAGAAAAATCAATACATAATCGGTAAAATCGAGCCTAAAACAAATTCACTTATTCCCCCGAGTGTACAATGACGTAAGATAGAGATAGAGAGGGAGGGAAAGAGAGAGAGAGAAAGAAACGAAACATTATCGTTCGTGTTTGTGTGATGTCGCGCGCGAGTGACTACTTGACGCTAGATACGGTAATAGTAAACATTTGGTACGGATTTTAATTTATTATCTATTTTATTACTGTGGGCTATTCAACTGAATTTTAGAATCAGAGTATAGGATTCACTATTTTAATGCTGTAAGAAATGAAAATGAATGAGACGTTTTATTATGTACTGTTTACCTATTTCCTTAAATAGAAAAAGCCCTAAAACGACCGACACAGCTAACAAACAAATGGTCATTTATTTGAAAAATAGTTCAAAATAGAAAAGGTGTATAAAATGAATTAAAATTTTAAACAGGTATGTCGATTGTATGCAGATTACTACGGCCCACGAAATACATTAATTTATTTATTTAACGATGTCTTATGATAGTCGATGCTACTTCCTCTCTACAGACTGAGCCAAGCATGCTCGTTTGCAGGTGCAGCGTGAAAGTATATCACATTTCTCACTTAAACTAGTCTTTACCAAACATTAACAACGTTTAAATTTGTAAATACTAAAAATACAACCATGTACTATCTTATCAACGACAATAAAAATTTACAAATCTTTGTCAATTAACAATTCCTAATACGTAACGTTCATAATACGTAACGTATTATGTACTTACGTACGTATGTAAAAAAATTAGTTGCAACAATGTCCTGCGACGATTTTTTTAATTTGTACAATAAAATGTTGATCACCTCGGTACTAGGCAACTAGAAGTTTAGGCTCAAACTTTAACATTGCCGCCTGTCTAGGGTTGTCATCTATCCGTCTTTAGCGGGACATGTTTGACTTTTTAGATTGTGTGCAGCTAAATGTTAATGTCACATGTCCGGCGGTATAGTTTTCATAGGTTTTTGGTATACCTGTGCCGAAGCTATATCAAATAAACTATGAATACACACAAATTCGAAAAACGTCAAATACCCAAATACCCAAAAAGACGCAGTGTTGCACGGGCATTTGCGAAATTTGAAACAAATCGTTAGTTTGTTTGCATCGTATAGTCTCCGAAATTACTTTATAAAAAAAACCTTTTTCAAAATAGGTTGTCCAGTTTTGATGTTAAGATCAAGCCTTATTTTATGAATTCACGTTTTGGCTGTGATAAAAGCGTTAAAATTATGATGTAGTTATCTTATCTTTAATTACCGCTTATTTGTATGTTACGTCTTACTACAAAATCAATTGAAAGTTAGTGATTTTTGCTTAACGCACCCTCTGAATAACTAGGCAGTAACCCTCGCGAAGCCGTGAACTAATATTACTGTCTACTGCGGTAATATTGTTTTACGGCTTCGCGAGAGATTTGACTTAGTCCGGCTTTAAGGACAAAATTTCCGATCTAATAAGAGAAGATGACAACCCTATCCCGCTACTTCTCAGATTTAATTGCGGAACTATAGGTACCTTTCTGTGCGCCTTTGACATGCCGCACACTATGCAGCGGCTTATAATAAAGGACTCAAATTGGCGGCTTTCCCTTTTTATCACTTTTTCTTTATACAGTTGTTCATACGTCGTCGATGTGATCACGTTTCGAAAAATGTCCGTGTTCTCTAATTCCGAGTTCTATGAAAAGTGCTTTTATCAGTGTTACATGGGATGCAGTGTTGTATTGATATAAATTGAGACTATTTTGAAAAGATGTAATTATACTGAAACGTCAGTGAACCAGAGGTTGGCCGCGATCTTTAGTTTTTTCTTGTGGAATAAAATTAAGTGCCTAATAAAGTGTAGGTGAGTGAACCTCACAAGTAATGCTTAAACAATGAATAAGGAAGTGAAAAGGTAAAGTACAAATAGTAATTCGCAAATATTTATTTTTAAATACGCCAAAATCGTTTGTGAATTATGTCGCATATCATTTTTTTTTTTTTATTATCGTAATATCAATCAGATTTGTCGGACCATTAAAGTATGAACTAAAAGTTAGACTCGTATATCAGTGTTTAAATAAATTTTACCTATCTATCATAAATAGGTACTACTTAA